CTTCAATTTTCATTCAATAAATTAAATTAATTGCAGCATTGTCCACGCTACGTTTAAAAGCAGAAGAGATGGTTTCCTACAAGCACTAAATATAACCAAGAGTATTTTTACAAGTTTTTTTATAACTTCTGTTGTAAAATTAATATTGTCTTCAGGACTTTCTAATATTTGTTGTGAGGTTAAAGAATTTTGTGGAGAATTTGTGATATAATTTCAGAGAGAATTTCAGATAGAATTTCAGATAGAATTTCAGATAGAATTTCAGATAGAATTTCAGATAGAATTTCAGATAGAATTTCAGATAGAATTTCAGATAGAATTTCAGATAGAATTTCAGATAGAATTTCAGATAGAATTTCAGATAGAATTTCAGATAGAATTTCAGATAGAATTTCAGATAGAATTTCAGATAGAATTTCAGATAGAATTTCAGATAGAATTTCAGATAGAATTTCAGATAGAATTTCAGATAGAATTTCAGATAGAATTTCAGATAGAATTTCAGATAGAATTTCAGATAGAATTTCAGATAGAATTTCAGATAGAATTTTAGTTGTAATTTCAGATATACTTTCGGATAGAATTTCAGATATACTTTCGGATAGAATTTCAGATATAATTTCAGATAGAATTACAAATATAATTTAAGAGAGAATTTCAGATACAAATTTAGATATAATTTCAGATAGATTTTCAGATAAAATTTCAGATAGAATTTCAAATAGAATTTCAGATAGAATTTTAGATGGAATTTCAGATAGAATTTCATACGAATAGATTTTTTGATAGAATTTCGAATATAATTTCGGATAGAATTTCGGATAGAATTTCGGATAGAATTTCGGATAGAATTTCGGATAGAATTTCGGATAGAATTTCGAATAGAATTTCGGATAGAATGTCGAATAAAATTTCGGATAGAATTTTGGATAAAATTTCAAATATAATTTCAGATAGAATTTTAGAAAGAATTTCCGATAGAATTTTAGAAAGAATTTCAGATAGAATTTCGGATAGAATTTCAGATAGAATTTCAGACAGAATTTCAGATAGTATTTTAGATAGAATTTCAGTTAGAATTTTAGGTAGAATTTCAGATCATATTTTAGATAGAATTTTACATAGAATTTCAGACAAAATAATTATTAATACATATAAATAATAATAAATAATTATTTATTTAAATAATGATTCTAAGCTTGAAATTAATTAATACGGAAAAGTATAAACTTGTTAAGATCAATCGTGCTTACTTTATTTTTATGCGTATTATACTATTAAAATTAAAATTAAAATAAATTCCAGATTTTTTATATTTTATTCCATTTTCATCAATTTTTTTATAATTAATTATAAATATTTATTGTTTAAGACCTAAATATTATTTTTTATAATTATTATTATTGTATTATCTTTTTTAATAATGATATTTGGAAAAATATCCCATTGTATAATAAATATAATATTTTTTTCGTTTTTTTTTATGAATTAAATATTTTTTAAATACGACACTTTCTTAACTTTTCGGAACTCTCTGACAAGTGCTGACAATCGCAAACCGTGGCGTTTCATGTGACAACGCCGCTGCCGATCGAGGGCGGAAATTTATATTTAGAAATTTCAAATTTTCTGTTAAGTCCTAGCCTACAAAATTTATTTACCATTATTAATTAATTGCAATAATTGTTCGCAGCGTATTTCATAATAATTAATCTAGACACAGCGGCGGTATAAAAAAAATTACAAATAATAAAAATATTTAGTATTTTATTAAACTTTTCATGAAAGTGGATTATTTTGTCATGTATTTTATAATAATTTTTATTTGTTTTCATTTATTTTTTCATTTTTTTGTTAATTTTTTTTTAATTATTTTTTTTAATTTTTATTATTTTTATTTATTTTTATTTATTTTTATTTATTTTTATTTATTTTTATTTATTTTTATTTATTTTTATTTATTTTTATTTATTTTTATTTATTTTTATTTATTTTTATTTATTTTTATTTATTTTTATTTATTTTTATTTATTTTTATTTATTTTTATTTATTTTTATTTATTTTTATTTATTTTTATTTATTTTTATTTATTTTTATTTATTTTTATTTATTTTTATTTATTTTTATTTATTTTTATTTATTTTTATTTATTTTTATTTATTTTTATTTATTTTTATTTATTTTTATTTATTTTTATTTATTTTTATTTATTTTTATTTATTTTTATTTATTTTTATTTATTTTTATTTATTTTTATTTATTTTTATTTATTTTTATTTATTTTTATTTATTTTTATTTATTTTTATTTATTTTTATTTATTTTTATTTATTTTTATTTATTTTTATTTATTTTTATTTATTTTTATTTATTTTTAGTTATTTTTATTTATTTTTATTTATTTTTATTTATTTTTATTTATTTTTTATTTTTTTTTATTTTTATTTGTTTTTAATAATTTTCTTTTACTTTTATCTTTATTTATTTTTGTTTAATTTTATTTATGTATTTATTTTTATTTACTTATTTTAATTATTTTTTATCTCTAATTTTTTTATTTTTTATTTATTTTTATTCGTTTTTTTATTTTTTATTTGGCATCAACTGCTAAGGCTATTAGCCTCGTGTTCTGTGTAGGCTTTGACAGAGTTTCCTATTGCCACATTAGGAACAGTACTGTTAATTAGAACCCAACAGTGAATGGTCCTACCAAGACATGAGAATTAATTTTAAATATTGAAATAAAAAAATCTCAGCCAACGGTGGTATTCGAACCTGGGTCCCTTTGATTTGCAGGCAGAGACTTTACCACTGAGCCACCCACTTTCCTATTTTGTTTCACATTTTTATTTTTTTTTATTTTTTTTATTAGTTTTTATTTACTTAATGAAACTTTAAGCTGGGACTAAACTGTGGCGATTGTCGTTTTTATTAGTATACTCCTCATATTTTTCATGTCAGGCAAGGCATAAGTTCACTTTAAGAGATATTTTACCATAAAAGGTCGTAAAAGGTCAGGATATTGAAAATTTTTAAATTAAAGTTGTTATAACTTTAAAAAACAGAAATAAAAAAATAATTTTTCAGAAGGTAAAGTTTATATTTTTCTGATTATAAAAAGATTTTAAAAAATCATTGAATTTTCAGCTCAGTATGATTTTTTTAAAGTCATATTATACAGTGTGTCGCATTTAATATGGAGACACCCCTATATTTTGGCTATCTAAATAAATACAGATTTGAAAGTTTGCACAGTTATACAGGGTGATGGTTCACATTTTTCAAGACACTCAACTGAAATTTAAGTTTTAAACGCGGCCTACTGCGAATCCACAAACAGGGTCATTTTTCGATATTTTACTTCGCGTTAGAGATATCAGAAAAAGTTATTTGGAAAAGTTGTTCCGAATATTATTCTAACCCAACATACCAAATTTTATGACAAAATTCGCATTTTTAGTTTTTTTATTAGTTTGTTCAATACACAAAAAATTATTAAAAGTTGATTTTTTTATTCGATGATTTAGTGTGCCATGATTGACATTATTGATTTCACAAGTATCAAATTATTCCTATCCATGGCACACTAGCTTATCGAATAAAAAAAATTAACATTTAATAATTTTGTGTATTGACAAAAATAATAAAAAAACTAAAAATGCGAATTTTGTCATGAAATTTGGTATGTGGGGTTAGAATAATATTCTGAACAACTTTTTTAAATAACTTTTTCTGATATCTCCAACGCGAAGAAAAATATCAAAAATTGACCCTGTTTGTGGATTCGCAGTAGGCCGCGTATAATATTTAAATTTCAGTTGAGTATCTTAAAAAATATGAACCATCACCCTATATTACTGTGCGAAACTTCAAATCTGTATTTATTTAGATAGACAAAATATAGGGGTGTCTTAATCTTAAATGCGACACACTGTATATACATATAAAAAAAATAAAAATTGAAAATAATTTTTCTGAAAAGAAAGTTTATATTTTTCTAAGTAAATAATAAGAAACAAAATACATTGAATTTTCAGCTCGCTATGATTTTTTTAAAGTCATATATATCTTCTTTTAACTTCTAACCACCCTAACTATGTTAGTTTCAATAATAGCAAAAAATGCTAAATATAATTTTCATATAAAACTTTATGTTTTAAAATTTTTATTATGAACTTTTTTTTATAGACAGTGACTATCAGTACATCGGATGTACGTGCTTTATTTGTACATCGGTCTCTTTTTCACAGAGTAGGTGAGCTGTGTCCAGGCCATTGTTGTTTATGCCGGTCGGCGTAGCCAGGTATGGATTAAAATTAACTGGTGGCGGCGAAGCCGCCACCCTACGAAAAGTCGTTGCTTCGTCTTGTTGCCACGGCATTATTATTATTATTATTATTATTATTATTTGTTCATGTATGTGGAATTTGCTTCTAAGATTTATAAAATACTACAGAAAAATACTTAAGTCTTCCACTTCATCATCTGAAATAAAGGTAAGTTAGAATTATTATGATGTACAAATAATGGGGATACATCCGATGTACAAATAATTCGTATACATCCGATGTACTGCTAGTCACGGCGTTTTTTATAGTACCTACCGTTTTTAAATAACCTTAAAAACACTTTATTATCTTGTTTTCCGCAACTTGTCGAGGCCTGAGAAACAATTTTTTTTGAATATCTTTTTCAAATACTGTAAAGTGACTTATATAAAAAATTCCTGTATTTCCTCCAAAATTTGATTTTAAGGTCTATTTGATTGGACTATTTTAAATAGTTGTATATGTCATCTACTCTCCCTACTAACTCGATGGTGCAGATGATAATATAGTCGCACCAAAATACGCCACTTTCTGTGCTCAAAAACATTATGTAAACAAGGTATATTAAAAGAGGCATAAAGAAAAATATAATTGCTTATTTATGAAACGACTGAAAAACGTTTTTAAAATACAATAATTTTGCATTAGTAGCGCCGTATATCAATTACTTACTTTATATTTAAACATAAAGTTATTGCACCAACAGTCACCATGAATTAACGTAACTTTATATTCAGGATCTTGAAATTTCATTAAAAATAACTCATAAATTTTTTTCTCTGCGATTTTAAGAAACTCTACTAAAGCAGGTTCATTTTCAACGATTTTTATAGCTGCTTCCATTCCCATTTTAATGTACATTTCAATTTTTATTTTCTTAGCTTCGAAATCTTGATCTCCCCATATGTCGCTCGATATTTCTTTGGTTAACGTTTCGTACAATTCTGGATCCTTGTGTTTCATTGCTATTGCAGTACCGTGGAATTTTGCGTATCCTTTCAGAATTGTTGTTATATGTTCAGTGTTCATCGGATTTTGTTTGTTCCAGAGCTGGTATCCTGTCGTTTTTAAATTTTCCATCGCCAAACATTCGTTTAACTCACCAACCGAAGATCCATACATTTTTGCGTGATTGTCAAAAATATCGGGTACATTGTGGCTTTCTTGGTATTTTTTAAATGCATTAAATATATTTTCGTACAAATAAATTTCCCTCAAGTATGCTTCGCGAAGCGGGGCGGCTTTCCTAAAGACTTCGCTTTGAAGCGCCGATTTCAATATTAATTCCAGCGTGTTCTTGTCATTTTTCACAGTAACTACGGTTAAAATACCCGAAAAATTATCACCTTTCAATGCACCTTTATTGGTAATCACTTCGAAGTTATTAAAGCCGTTTTCTCTTGCGATTTTACTTATTAAATTGTATTCCACTTCGCTTAGTTCCACGGACATTTTATTTCATTTAACTATCACCATTGACTAAATTAGATGCTGCTGTTGTGAGGTAATCAGATGAAAACAAATAGGAGGCCTTGAACCGCAATAAAACTCATGCGATTATGCAGTAATTTTGTTGGCGGTTCATTTATATTATTGTTCAAGTACACCTTTCGCTGTACTGCACTGAATGAATGATCTTTTAATAAACGTTCGTTTTCAAAAATAGGTCTATAAAATTAAAATAAAAATAGTTCGTTTCGAAATATGGCCCATTAAAAGTTTTATGGGGCAGTATAAGCAAGAAACGTTTGCATTTTACAAAAGAAAGATTTAAAATACAATCTTAATTCAGTTTCAACAACGACTGTATTTGATGTGATAGAATTTGATAAAAACGAGAAAGCTTTGTAACATAAATAAACCACTTATGTCGCATTATTTGTTTGAATATTATCTATCTAAATATTTTCAGTATCGTATTTGTTTAATTTTTAGAAAACAGTTAATTTTTTAACAACTATAGTAGCTAAACGAAAAATAGAAAAACACTTTTCATACGAGTTTAATACTAGAATCATAAAAGAATTTCCTAAATTCTTCATTTGACATTTGATCTTCCCGAAAATCGTCATTAAAGCGCACCTGTGATGGCCATCCCCCCAGGCCCCCTTTTCTTTTTGATTTGTTCTTGTGTTTTACTTTGTGAAATTGTTACTATTTATTTACCTCACAAGTTTTACTTTAAATTCTATACTTACTGGAATTGACCTTTTTTCCTCTAGTAGTAAAAGTGATCGTCTAGTTAATTTATTGATAATTTGTATACCCACGTTGTGATAATGTTTATTTGAGGTAAACCAGAATTCGATGCAAAGTTTGGTGCAAATTGATAAATAAAACATACTAATTAATATTTAAACTCTTTTTATTTTTCATACTTTAAATGTGATGCAATAATTAGCAAAGTATATTACAATTGTTACTATTTACTGAGATCTCACTTGAGTCCCGTTCAAACGCAGACCACATTCATTTGCTATCAATATAAGTTTTATTTAGGTTGATCACCAACAGAGTTAACAAACAGCGTTAATTCGCCAGTTGATTAACTATAGTGTTGTTGTTTATATTTTGATTTAGGTTGATGACCAACGAAGTTAACGAACAGCGCCAATTCGCCAGTTGATTAACTATTGAGTTAATGTTGATCTGATTCTATTCTAGATATATACAGGTTGCACACTCTTAGGTAAATATTACGATGAGTATAGAAGTGATGACCAACGGAAGTTGATTACCTTACTATGTTGATTTCACATATACTTCGTTTCAAACCTTGTAGAACGGGTTGCTCAGCATATAGGTGTCCCCCTTGAGCTAACAAACAGCGTATTCGCCAGTTGGTTAACTTACAACAAATTTTACCGTCTTGGTTTGTACAATTTATCCAAGATAGCACAACCCTGTATATTTCCAAAATAATGATTTTTATAATTTCTATTAACCCTGTATATGTTTTTAAATTGATTATTATAATTTATATTGAAATAACTTAATACAACCCTGTATATTTCTTAATATTGATTTTTATAATTTCTATTAAAATACTCAAAATTTCACCCATCAAAAAACAGATGTTATCCTAAGTGTCTTTCGGGATGTGTGACCTGAAGGCCATGTGGTTTATTGGTTAAATTGATATATTGTAGCAAATGTCAAGCCGCCCTTAAACGAAACCGGGGTGGTATCTCAGAGAAAGTTAAATAAATCTTTGACTCACCATTGAAAATACAGACTTTAGATTATGTACTAATTTCATCTAGCGTTGTGACGGCGTCGATTCAGGTACGTCGCAGCGTTATGCGTTGAGGTACCCAGCATCGAGGCGTCTAGCGTCGTGGTGGAAGGGAAGGTATTTAATACAGTACTGTATTGGGACAGATATACGGTAGAATTATGTAGGTGGTGCGGGACGTGATTTTATGAAGGAAATATTTGAGGACGGCTAGCGTCGGAAATAAGGCGTGGGACGTTGAGCGTCGAAATAAGTGTACGGTAGGAAATACTTAGATGATGAGGAATATGACAGCGTTCGAGACGTAGGGAGTAGGACGGCAGGACGTTGGGCATCGAGACGTTGACACCTTCGGGGATAGAAGGTATTGTAGGATATACTTCGTTTAGGAAGAGCGTTTTAGAAAAGGTACTGATTACTGAACTTGAAATATAACTGGATACAAATAATAAATGAATGCTTGAACATCAAATAATTGTAAATGAATGACCCGAACTCATTTTTGTCTGGATTTTTATATTAAAAGTTTTAATGGCTTTGTGACGTCTCTATGTCTTTAGTTCTCATAGAAATACTGTGGGTGCAGGGGGTGGGTTATTTATTATGTGCCTTGAAAATTTTGTGTATCGAAATATTGTCGAAATCGGTGAAACTAGCAAGATAAGCGAGTTAAGCGCTTTAACGATATTTACTTCGTGAAAGAAATAAGTTTTATGGTGTTTTCTTTGGGCTGGTTCTCAGAGACACGTGGATATATTACGGACGTGGTTATAGCTATTATTTATTAGGTGTCGTAAATAAGATTTAATTATCTGGGAGATTTTTCGTTAAATGAAGCATTTTGATATTTAATAAGAATGCAATATTATATTTATATTATATTTAGTAGGAATTAATAAATTATTAGGTTACCTGGGTGCGGTAGGTTACACACCCTTTCTTCAAAAGTGACACAGCTCAAAATTCACATTTTTACATTCACATACTTATACGGAGAATAGTCGCACTGCGCAGCTTTCTGAGTGCCTTTTAAAAGGAGATAGAAAACTCCGCCATTTTGAACAATTATTACGTGTTGCCTACATCTTGGCGCAATAGTTTTAGTGGTCATGTTATAATATTTACCCAAAGTCAGTCCCCAAAGATATTATTTACGAATCTACACTTTACAAAACCATTAACAAATAATGAATATCTTGAAAACCTTGCTTCATTTGGTGATTTTATGTTAAATCGTTCCATTTGTAAGTATCAGTAACTATTTATGTTTCTATTGTTATATTCTAAAGCTTTTTATTTTTCAGGTCTCCCTAGGAATCTCGAGCACTTAACATGAACAGTGGTTACAAACCATTAATCAAATTGTTTAGAAATTGTTTTTAGCTAAACTTCGTTATGTCTCTTCTCAGCATTTTAGAAAAATGCTTATTGCTCTTATGTAAAAAGGTATGTGATCAGTCATGAACCAATTTTTTATAGAAGGCAAATACCAAAAAAATTTAAGCATTTACTTCAATAGATGGGAGCAGTATTAAAATCAAACGAAAAAATATAAATAAACATGTAAGTAATATTGTTTACTTTTCGGAACATTTATATTACAATAATTGTTATTTATTTCTGATTTACTATCTGTGGCTCATTTACACACCTGGAAGTAGAATAGCCCCTCTGCTAAATAGTGTATCTGGAAGAATTAGAAAAATGATCTATAATATTTAATTTTTTTATTTGGTACAGTAAACCTTGTAACAATTTCAGATAAATAGAAATTTCTGAAAAGCAATAGTACCACTGATCCAGGTACATTGATTCGTACGTTAGACATACACAGGAATCATAAAAGTAACAAAAACGCCTTTTAGAGCCACCGTATGTAAACATCCTTTTTACAATATTGACTCGACGGACTAAAAAAACCATAGCTAGACCATCGTTTGCTATAGAAACAGAAAGTAGGTAGATATGCAAGAGTTTTGAAAATTTACACTGGCAATCTAATTTTAATACAATTAACAAACTTGTGTAATCTTTGAATATGAGAATATTGGTGGAGGTGGTGGCAGTAATACCCATAGGGGTATTTTCTTGAATAAAAAATATTTATCAATGTCTTCCTGTGTAACCACTAAAAGAAGAAGAAGAAGATGAACAATACATCTGATACAGTTAAAAATTTAACAACTACATTTAGCTAACTTTAAAAAAAATTAACTGTTATACAAATTCAACGTGTCTGTCTCAGATAAATTATAAGATAAAAACACAAACCAGCTATCTTTTGCATCAGTTATAAACAACCTGGCTCAACCATTCAGCATTCGTTATTAATGGCATTAAAAACCGATTTGCTCCGAGCTAATTATTTAAAAAGAAGTATCATCATTACCACAGTTAGAGACATGTTCCAAGCTACTAAATTTGGTGTAATAGAAGTAAGTCAGCCATTTCTTTAGTATGCGAGTGTGAAATAATGATATATAATTGGAGTTAATCAAATGATATGTGAAAATATTTGAAGATATGTACATTTTTATTTGATTATTTATGACCCGTGACCTAGATTTAATTAAAAAAGTATAAATTTGTAATTTATCTGTGACTGTTTCATTTAACTATTTTACAAATATTTTTTTAAATGAGTATGTATTTTATTTTATAAAGTATTTTTTTATTTAAGATAGCACTAGATGATAAAGGTGTGTTTATTAACAGATATAACAAATAGTGCTTAAACAAGAAACTTTATTGTTTGTTACAAGTGAATTTAAATCCTAAAGTTTTATTTTGATTATAAAAATATTTATGATCTTTTTATTTCGGAATCAAACAAGTACCGGAACAACTTTTTAATTGAGCCAAATTATGATCTTCAAGAAATATTTGAACAAGAACAACCATCATTATATTATGTTTTTTGGTACATAGTTTTGTAATGTGCAATGAGAAGATTAAGAAATAATGAAATAATCTAGCTCTTCTTCATCTGGGATGAATGTTGGATATTCATAAAATAAAGGCATTGCTTTACCAAAATATTATAATGTTTTTTAATGAAACCCTTCTCAATCCTAAGTAAATTTTTCAAAAAACTAATCTTGACTCTCAATATTTAGGCAGTTTTGGAAGACATAATTGATTTATTTGAAAATAAACACAATTCAAATCTAATTTCACATTCCTAGGTATACAATCATAATCTGCATATTACTCTGTCTTTTTTTTAACTATTGTTAAGTATAGTCTATATTGAATTGTTAAAAATAATTTATTGTATATTTTTACTTTAGTTAATAAACATTAAATTGTTGATCCATAGTCACTTAAAGAAGGAATTACATTTATGTTCAATGAATTATGGACTTATGGCATGCTGACTATAGACCTTTAATTTTTTTAAATAATATATTTTATTTCTTGACTCATTTTTAAAAGTACATAGGGGAGTGGGGACACATTTGACATATTTTTAGTAGGTATAATTATGATGTGTATTGTAAATAAAAAAAAACTATTTGTGATTGTTATACACATAATTTCAAGTAGAAAAACAACATAAAAATATGACTACTTAATTTGG